GCATCAGATTTAGTAAGTTTAAATGAATATCCCAGTTTGCATGTAGAGAGGACAAGGAAAAATGTATAAGCAAGAACATTGGTCACAAGTAATATGTTAGAATTATAAAACACCAATCAGGAATTTGGAAAATGGTGGGCTAATTACATGCCTACTCCGGAATGCAATAGCAATTCAATGACCTGACAATGGTGGATTCTTTCCAAGGAGGTCGTATCCAAATGTGTTGTTGAGCCGCCAATGCTATTATTGGTTGGTTGTTTTTGGAAGTTTTGGGGTGGATTGGAGGCAGCTTGCCATCTGGATTGTGAATCAATAATGGAGGCTGCTGTGGCCAAGGTGATGATTTTCTATGATGACATCATGGCTTTGAGAGGCAAAAAACAAAAATAAAAATTCAAACTTAAATAGTGAAAATCCAGGATTTTTGAGTGAAGATCCTGCAAATCTGTCCAAGCATTCTTCAAATGACAATACTTAAAACATAAAATATAAAATAAAATAATAAAAATATAATACTACACAATTGGTACTTGAACCCAAGTGTGTTGGTGAGACAAAGTGCTAACATAGTCTTTAACCATTGCACTACATTACATCAGTGGTGGGCCGCTACGCTTTTGGCCCAAAAAGCGTAGCGTAGCGGCGCTTTTATTGCGCCAAAATTTTGTAGTGTTAGCGCTTTTGTAGCGCATTTTTGCTACACTACACTGCGCTACAGCGCTTTTAGCGGAAAAAGCGGCTAAAAACTGCTAAAAACGGCTGTAGCGCAGCGTAGTGGGCCCTTTTTTGTGGCCCACACGCGTAGCGTTAGCGGTGTCGTGGCGGAATTCCGCTACGCTATGCTTAACGCTAACGGGAATTCCGCTGCGTTACGCTACACTAACCGCTATGGTTAGTGTAGCGGCCCACCGTTGATTACATGTACTTGTAGCTTAGGTTCAGGTTGTCGACACATGGGCTACAGCCTCAGTGTCTGACAAAGGGTTTCCTTCCAGCCAACGAGGTCTTTCCAGTTGGCAAGGGATGTACCTTGCTGACTGGAAGGAAACTCTTCCGGTCAAAAAGGTACATGTACCATGCCAACTGGAAGGAAGCCCTTCCAGACGGGCAGGTACATGTACCTTGCCAACTGGAAAGGAAACCCTTCCAGCGAGCAAGGTATTTCCAACTGGAAGGAAATCCATCCAGTCAAACGAGGTACATGTACCTTGCTGGCTGGAAGGATTTCCTTCCAGGTTGCAAGGTACATCCTTGCCAACTGGGAGAAAATCCTTCCAGCTGGCGAGGTCATGCGTTACCAACCATTTAAAGGGCAGGTATCCAAACATACCTGCTTGGATACCCGCTAAGGCGGGGGGATACCCGCCAGCAGCTGTGGATGGCAATTTCCCTGGAAAAAGCAGCCAGATATCCGCATCCGCGCAGATATCCGGATGCGCCGGGGCCATCTCTATCTGTAACCAAGACTTTTTAAGAGTCATTTTCAACAAATCATTGATGGTAGATCTCCAACCTTCAACACCTTGCTTGAATGCCTTATATAATGGACTACAACAGAAGAAGATGGTTTTTATCAAGTCTTCAACTCTGTCTCCAGGCCCCCAGAAAGAAGAGCTTCAGAGCGTGCAAGAGCTCAAATCCACTGGGATTGTATCAAAGGTCACCTGAAGAGACTCATAGCCAATTTGTTTTACAATCTATGAAAACTGCATGTTTGAGTTGTGGTTGAAAATGAGCCAAGGGATATCTGATTGACTGTCCACAATCTATGAGAACATGATACATTTGGATCTCAAGATTGCAAATTCATCTTGTCAGTTATCTTTTTCTGCTGTGGCTCTAACTATTTGGGTTACAGGATTGCTTTGGAACAAGTGGTCTATTGCCCCAAAGGAAGATCACAGTGACTACCTACTATCTGGAAGCTTGCATATGGCACAAGTATTGATTTGATCAATGAGAGCATTCAAAATGGGAAAACAACTGCTTTGAGAACACTGAAAGATTTTGTGACTCATGTCAGTGAACTCAATGAGAAACTGTTGGAATTTTGTCTCTACTCCTTTCCTCTCTTCTCCTTTTTCTTACTTCTGCCTCAATCTCAATCTCAGTAATCTCTTGGATCTGCTCACTAGTCACTCAAAAGTCTTCTCCTACATAGTCTGACACTATCTCC